CTTCTGAGCTAGATGGCCGCTTGTTTACCTTCAAGCCTTTAAGACCCCAGACGCTATACATTTTGATAGCTGGGCACCATCAGCTTTCTTCGCCACATTTGCATATGCACCCATTTATCTTCAGCGATTGTATCATGGAGGTGAGCACACAATGAGATGATTTTTTTGTTCTTTGATGCCTGATAACTGATCCCCTTGGCTCCTCGTGATCACACAGGCTGGTGTGCTTCTTCCATGTGGGCTTTGTTGCTTTTGAGCTAGATGGCCGCTTGTTTCCCTGCCCCTCCCCACAGAAGAATTTATTTCAAAGGACAGCATTGAATCTGCAGCTCCTGGAGAGAGACATATCTGATCAAAGCACATGGGAGCAGATGAAAGGGGAGGAGGAGAGAGTGGAGCACATCCTGGCCCACCAGGCCATGAGGACGATGTTCCCAATTAGAGCAGCCAGTCAACAAAGAGGACCACATGGCTGGCCCCACTAGGAGACATGACGCCTCTCACTGACCCATAGCCCTACAGGGGACAACACCAGAGACACAGTGTGGGAATTGCACCCGATCTCCGAGCTGATCCCTCCACACTGAGACAAAACACTAAGGGGGTGCAACAGAACAGCAAGGGAATGGAGCGGCGAGGTCCCCAGTGAATGCTTAAGGTGGATTTGGGGGCCATGGTGTGGTGCCCCAACAGACTGGACTGGAAAACACTCCTAAAAGCCAAAAAACAATCCTTGAACTAACTACAAGCTTTCCTTTCTTGTGTTTTGTTTTGGTTTTTTGTCATTGGTTTGTTGTTGTTGTTGTTTTGCTGTATATTGCTGCTTGGTTTTGCTCTGTCTTGGTTTTGTGCATGTTATTATCTCCGTGGGTCTGTCTAAATAATATAGGCTGAATGAACAATCTGGAGGAGAAAACAATGGGACCCACAGTTTCAGGGGGACATGGGAGAGGGGGAGGTGGGGAGAAATGTCGTGGTGTTAACAAACCCAGGGACAAGGAACAACAAGTGATCCAAATCGATGGTGATGAGGGTGTGGAAGGTCTGGTATGGCATGATCAAGGGTAATGTAACCAAGAGGAATT